TTTCCCTTTGGGGTTGCTGTAGGTGATCTGGAAGTCTGGTTTTGAGACTTATTTATGTGTTTTCTCATTTTGACTGGGGCAGGGGGCTGTTAGCACCTGCTCGGATTACCTCCTCTGAGCTGGGAGAGTTGGGACAGGGACCAGGAGCAGCGGTAGGGATTGTGGCCCAAAAGCCCTTTCCTGTGGGTTGGGAGCAGCAGGAGAGATGGTGGCCAGGAAGCCCCTTCCTCTGGACCAGGAGCAGTGGGATGGCAGCTCAGAAGCCCCTACCTCTCGGCCAGGAGCAGTGGGAGGGATGGTGGCCCAGAAGCCCCTTCCTCTGGGCCAGGAGCAGCGGGAGGGATGGTGACCAGGAAGCCCCTTCCTCTGGATCAAGAGCAGTGGGACGGCGGCTCAGAAGCCCCTACCTCTGGGCCGGGAGCAGTGGGACTCTGTACCGTGGTCTGGTGGTCTGGTGTCCTCTGCATCTTTGTAGTGTGGAACCAGGTGGCTGCCTGTCTGCAGCAGGGTGATTCTGGGTCTTCCGTGCGACTTGGGACCTCGGTAGGGTGTGCACAATCCTGCCCATCTGCAGTGGGCTAGGATTTGTTTTTTAAAAAAGTTTTCTTTTGATTTTTCTGGTAGAAGTACCCCAATTCAGTACAATAGCGCATGAAAAAACAGATTTGCAAATTTTGGAGGAGATCAAAAGTGAATCATCAGATTACTAATGCATGGATGATAAAGATGATAATGAGTTTGATGCTAGCCATATGAGCCAAAGTTTCTGTGACATTGAGATGGAGCAAGAACAAACTGATACAGACATAAGGAATGCAGACCTCCTTGACTCAGATGATGAAGAAAACAGCAATGTGAATATATATTTGACTAGTTGAAATGTTGCAAATGATCACACAACCAAATGAAATGATCCAATGTTAGAACTAGGTCTGAAAATATAGTGAGGATCTTGGCAGGAATGAAACCCATTGGAAAGAATGCCAGTGTTGCCATTCAGTGCTGGAAATTGTAACAGATAAAAAGCTACAAGATGTTGTGAAATACACAAAGGCTGAAATACAAGTAAAATGTTCTGTATACACCAAGAGCCATATTAAAAAATGTATTTATTATAACACCTCACTATCTGAACTGAAAGCATTCATAGGTCTGCTGTATTTAGCAGGGATTTCTTGTGGTAATCACAGGAATGTAAAAGACTTACAGAAAAGTGATGGGTCAAAATATGGTATAAAAATCTATGCCTTTGTAGATGCAAAGACTTATCCTGGAACTCAACCACCAAGTCCTTATTCGTATAGTAATAAACCAAATGATGTTGTGAACAGACTCGATGCTTCCATCTCCCAAACTAATCAGAATGTGACATTCAACAGTTGGTTTACCAGTTTCCAATTGATGTTACATTTGCTAGCAGAGCACAAGTTGACCAGTGTAGGAACTGTATGCAGGTACAAAGCAGAAATTCCAAATGAAATGTTGCAATTTCAAAACAGAATTATATAGTACAATCTTTATATTTCGGAAAGATATAACAATGGCCTGGTATATGGCCAAGAAAAATAAAGTGATACTGCTGATGTCAACATTGTACCATGATGGAAATATTGATAGGGAAACCTTGACAAAACAGAAGCATGAGATAGTAACTTTCTACAACAAAACCAAAGAGTAGATGTTGTTGATAAGTTATGCAGCAACCATGATGTCACTTGAAACACAAAGCGTTGGCCAATGGTTGAGTTTTACTAGATCTTAAACATGTGTGGCATAAATAGTTTAATAGTTTACAAAAGAAAATAACAAGTGCAAAATCCTATAAGAAATTTTCTAAGAGAATTGGGACTGGAACTAATAAGAGATCATTTACAGCAGAAGAAAAACAAATGTTTACACAAAAAAACTGTGGAGCACACTGGTGAGCTGACAAGTGAACAGGCAAGCGGAGCATCACAAAGACCTACTAAGACAACAGGAAAACAAAAAAAAGATGTCAGCTTTGCCTGACAAAAAAGGACAGGAAAACAAAACATACATGCTATCGGTGTAAGCAATACTTGTGTATGGAACATGCACTTTTTACATATGAAGACTGCTTTGGATGTGACAGTTGAAGCAAAGATTTCTGTGGTAACTTTTGTTTGTATCTACACTGTAGTTTACTTACGTTTTTATTTATGATGTTATCTTTTAGGTTTTGTTAAGCAAGGAAACAGCTGATGTGAAAATGCTGATGTCTATTCTAAGCACTCATTACATATTTGATATTTTTATTTTATTATTATCTTACTTTCCTTCTAAGTGCATGTTGTACAGTTTGGTAAGAAGTTTCTGACAAAAGAAGACAAAAGAGGTGACAAGAACAGACTGCCCCACAGGAACAGAAAGCTAAGCACATACGCTGTCAGTGTGAGACATGTGCATGAAACATGCAGTTGTCATGTGTGAAGACTGCTTTGTGTATGACAATTGAAGCAAAGATTATTCTTGTTGTAGAGTTCTATTGGTATTTTCATTGTAGTTCATGTAGAAATTTATGTTATTTTTTAGACTGTGTACATCAAAAACGTTGATGCTGAAAATTTTGATGCTTTTTTAATAAACAATAAATATTAAAAATTCAATACTTTATTTTTTGATATATTTCTTGTTAAGTATCCATTGTTTAAAATAATAAGACTCATAAAATTAAAATAATTCATCAATAGAAATATTCTAAATAATAAACAGGAGTATTATGCACCCACATTTCTGTATCTTTATGACAAAATTAGCATCATGCTTCTTTTAAAAAGAACTTGGTAACTGTTTAATAAGTGAACACTCTTTAGTTATCCATACTGTAAATCTTATTCTTCTTTCACCTAAAAGATTCTTTCCTCTATCCTTTTTTGGAATGGAATCATTATGTTCCTCTGCTTTATTATTTTAATATGAAAGTTTCCCATATTGGTATCTCTTTAATAGACATCTATCTATACTGAGCTCAATATGTGAATATTAAACTTGTAGCCTTCCTTTGTTAAGGTTTTATTACCATATAGTATTATTTAGAGATATTAAATGAATGTAATAAAGTCATTATCTTCCATGATAGGATCAGTTCAAGGAAACTTCACTCTGGGAGGCAGAAGTGAGTACTTCTTAGGGTGGCAGGTCAAGGGAGACCATTTGGGGGATACATAAGGTACACTGCATTCATTTTCAGTAAGGAAGTGAGAAGAAATTTCCTTCATCTGCTTCTTTGGCTCCAGCCTCTAGTTATCCACTCTACTTTTCACTATATTATTTTCCCTTCTCTTGTTCTACTCTTTTTCCTTAGATTGCATGAACACACACACAAACACACACACACACACATATTTCTGCAGATAATAAAAAGATTCGTGAACATCATTGTTGGTAAATATTTAAAATTTTTTTATTTCATTGCGTACAGTGGCACAAACGTAATCCTAGCTACTGAGATGGCTAAGGAAAAAGATGGCAAGGTCAGCCTGGACAACTGAACAATTCAGGGGACTCTGTATTAAAAGGGGTGGGGATGTAACTCAATGCACAGGCTCTGGGTTCAATCCCTAGTACTACAAAAAGTGGGGGAGGTGATAACAATAGTACTTGCCTCATAGGATAGGATTTTTGTGAGAATTTAATAAGAAAATACATATAAGGCACTAACTTTAATGTGAGGGTGCTGTATGTCATCTTTGCCATTATTCTTTGGCAGTTACTGGACTCTCCAATTCAAGGGAAAGAGTCATAGTTTCAACCTTAGTCACAAAGTAAGAAAAGTGTGAGGGAGAAGACAAATACAGAGATAAACATGACCATCTTGGAAAGTACAAGATACACAGTGATTAGCGATTTCCAGGTATTATATCATTATATATCCTCAATGTTACATATTTATACAGTAGTCCCCCCATTTCCTTGTTCCTCCTCTGCTGCTGCCACCTTCTCCTTCTCCCCCTCTTCCTTTTTTGTAGTACTAGAGATTTTAGGGCCTTTGCACTTGGCTACATCCCCAGCCCTTTTTCTTTTGGTTTTTGTTTTTTTGAGACAAGGTCTCACTATGTAGTTCATATGTAGTTCAGGCTGGCCTTGAATACATTATATAGCCCAAGCTGGCCTCAAACCTATGGCAATCCTCCAGCCTCAGCCTCCAGGGTGCTGGGATTATAGGTGTGTGCTACTGAGCCCACTTTTTTTTTCTACTTTTTGAGTCAGAGTCTAGCTAAATTGCTGAGTTGCCTAGACTGAATTTTGACTTGTAATGCTCCTGCCTTAGCCTTCCAGAGTATTGGGATTACAGGCATATATCACCATGCCTAGCATAGTTCCCTTTTCAGTTTTTAGTTTTACTTTTTCCTACAGTGGTAATGAGCCCATGGTCCTCTTACATGCAAGGCAAGTGCTCTACCATCCCACCCCAACCTCATTGCTTGTGATTTATAGTTTTGTGCCTTCTTGTGATCTGATTTTATTTCTTTTTATTTCTCATTCCCAATCTGTTTTTTTAAATTATAACACTTTCTTCTAAATTATAATATTTCCTTACAGAAATACAGAATATGGAAAAGAAAATAAAAAAGATGCCAAGTTCAAAGTCAGCCTGGTCAAATACCACATGATCCAATCTCAAAAAAAATTTTTAAACTTTAATTTAAAAACATAAATGAAAATTCTTTATTTCAATTATTTTGTTATAAATATAATCATAAAAATCTGATATTTGACCATAAACATTCTACTTATATCTACATTTTTAGAATATGAACAGTAATAAAAAATATTGATTTTGCACAATTTCCTCTTACCTTCTCCAGTTTTTCAGCTACTTTTTCTTTATATTGTTGGAAAGCTTTACTCAGCTCTTCAGCATTACACAGTGCTTCATTTCTTTGTCGTTCAGCTCTAAAATTTATAGGGACAATAAATAAAAGAATGCTCTGCATTTGAATAGTTAAGTTTCAATGTAATCTTTACCTAATTATAAGGAATTATTAGAAAAAGCAGATTTCTCTGTACTAAAAAGTAGAGGGGGATGATTAAAGTATGCTATGTGCATGTATAAATCTGCCAAAACAAAATCCATTAATCTGTATAACGAATATGCACTAATAAAAAAGTGTGGGAATAAGAGAGTATTAGGTTTAAACTATAAAATGAAGAATGAAGATTATACTACAGCAATTTCTAACTCTTATCAAATAAAAATATAACATAGTACACTTAAATATATGAACTCTGAAATATACATAAATTCCTACGTGTTGGCAATTTTCCCCAATCTGGAAAAGCTAAATTAGGAAAGCAACCTGATGAAGGTTCAAATGTTAAGTATTACAGAATCAGTCAATTGTATAGAATATTAAAAAGATACTCAATAAGTTCAGTGACCTATGCACAAGCCAAGTAAATTTTTGGAAAGGTATTTAAAAAACAGAATAACTTCTACTGATACAACAGAAAAATCCAACTATTACCGAGTATTATTTAAGCCCAGCTATGCTGCTTCACCTCTTAGTTTATCCTGGCTTTTCCCCATACTTCTCAAATTTCACTGAGACTACTGAACTGGAACTTGGACAATTATCACATACATACCTAAGATCTTTTTTTATATTTAAAGCTATTCTCATAGCATTCTTTCTAGGGTAAGTAAAACTCATGACTATTATGGTTTATATCTTCATGTCCCCCTAAAACCTCATACATGCATAGGAGGGGCTTTTGGGAGGTAACTGGATCATGGGTTGTATGATATTGGGGCTAAGGGTGTGTTGTAATGGATTAGTCCACTAACTGGTTTAACATAGTTTAGGGTGTGGCTTTACTGAAGACAGAATCCTCACCCTGGGTGTGAATGGCACCAAGCAATAGGTTTGTACTCTGAATGGAATAAAGGAAAGGGAGGCTTGCTGCTGCTGTTTTCTGCCTATCCTGCCATGGACTGTTTCTTCTCTGCCATGTCCCTCTGCCAGGTTGCCCTGCCTTGGAGCCAGCTGACTGTGGAAACTCAACAAACTCTGAGCTAAAAATAAACCTTTCCTCCTTTAACTTATGGGTATTAACTATTTTGTCCCAGCCATGAGGAAGAAACCAAGACAATGACCCTTCTCTTATGCAAGGTGAATTACTTGATTTATACTTAATTTATACTAGATTTATACCATAACTCTTGCCTTTTGAAACACATTCTATTTTTTAGTATCTTCTCTATTAGTTTTTAAAATCCAATTTTTATAAACAAATTCAAGTGAAAGTATACCTCATTTTCTGAATCACTGTGATTCTTAATTTGGATAGCAACTGTGAATATCAGGAACATCTATAGTAAGTGATTTTTCTGACAATCTATAAGGATATATCCCATTCCTGAGTTTGTACAGTTAAAGTTAAGTTGCATTTCTTATGTAAACAAACAAAACTTTCCCCAGATATTGTGCTTGCTTTTATCATTTCTTTTCAAGCCAAATTTATGCACTTTATACTTATCTACTATTCCTGATCTCCAAATTTAAAAACATCATGAGCTATTTCAGCCACAGAGAAACGTATAAATATATTTATATTCACCCACCCAACTCTAGTTCATTTAAAAAATCAATTTCATACTATTATACTGTGTTAAAACACTAATTTATATATTCACTATTAACTTGATACACAGAGATTATTTCCAGCTAATGTAAACAATGCTACAGTGAATATCCTGGTGAATTACTCCTTGGCAATATGTGTAAGAACTAAGATACATAGCTAGAAGTTGAATTACTAGCTATTTTCCAAAAGATATTTTGAAGTTGAAGGTACTAGATAAGTACATCTTCAATTTCTATTAAATCTCTCTCTCTTTTCCCCCTCCCCATTTCTTGTCTCTGTCTCTGTCTTATGGTGCTGGGGATCAAACCTCATACATGCTAAGGAAACACTCTACCACTGAGCTATATACCCAGTCCTAAATCTTATTTTGAAAAACTGGTCCAGCAGCTATATAAATTTATGCTTACAGGCCGGGGATTTAGCTCAGTGGTTTCGTTGCCTGCTGCGCAAGTGCAAGGACCCAAGTTCGATCCCCAGTAACCCCCAATAAATAAGTAAATAAATAAATAAATTTATGCTTACAATTTAGAAATACATAAGGGTTTTTGTTCTATGACAACACTGTCCACACTTAAAGAAGCAGTACAGAATAACTTATTTAAATTTCAATAATCTATGAAGAAATACAAAAATGAGTCACTGAGATATTAAGTAACTTACTAAAGTTCTCACAACTAGTAAGTATAACCTGTGTCTAAAATCTTTTTCTTTTTATTAAATTCTTTTATTGGTACATTGTAGGTATACAACACAATTACATTTCTCATTGGGAATTGTACCTTTACA